CAGAAATTCTGGCAGTCTTGAGGGACTGGAGATTAAAAAAAAAAAAAAAATTAGGAACAGGAGGGACCAAGATCTGAGTGAAAAATAAATGATGAAGCATCAAATTGACACAGGCATGGTTTCACCCTCATGACATTTGCTGACATATGAAGCTACACATAAGATGCTAGGAAGAAAGCTTCTGAAAAGAGCAGGATTCTCAGAAGTACCGCCCCGAATCGTGTTTAGTACCTGTGAATGCACCAGTGGATGCTCTAAATATCTATGCCTTGGCAGCTAGGTTCCCCGGCAAGGGATGAAGATTACTAGTACTTGAGTCAGCTCAGTCACTGATTGGGTTGCAAGGATTGGCGGCCACCTCTCCACTTTCTTTTCCTAGCAGAAGGAAAACAGACAACTCTTTGGACTTGGATAAATCATCTAGAGCCTCTAGAATTTTATACACAATTACTAAAACCAAGACTAAAGAGAGACACTGAAAAAAAGCTCGCAGTAATCCAGTTATTGGCATTAACCGACAAAACTTTAAAATAATTTCGATTAGTATGTTCAAGGTAACAGAGGAAACAGTAGGAAAATAGATTAATTGGTATCTATAGAAAAGAATGAAATGCACATTTGAAAACCAAAAAAATACAATAACTAGAGTATTAACCCACAGAAGAACTTGACAGCATAACAACTATAGTGACAGAGAGAAGGCTAGTAAACTGGAAGAAATGGTCAAAAGAAAATATCCAAACAAGCACAGAGAGAAAGGAAGAGTAGAAAATAGTGAAACAAGCATAAGAGCATGTTGGGCACAGTGAAACCACATATTAAACATATAACTGAGGTCTCAGAAAAGAGAAAAGAAACAGAATGGAGGAGAGCTCTAGATCTAGAATTCGCCAATGAATTTTGTCTGATGAAACACATCAATCCACAAAGTCAGGAAGTTCTGCAAACTCTAAGGAGGATAAATAAAAAGAAAACCATACCTAGGAACATCACAGTAAAACTGAGGAAAAATAAAGACGAATGAAAAAAGCTTAAAATCAGCCAGAGACAAAGACACATGATCTTCAAAACAACAAGACTGACAGGTTGGATGCAAGAGCACCAGTCAAAAGAATAACTAGTTGAAGTGGTGAAAGAAAAGAACAGCCACACAAAAATTCTACACTTAACTTACACAGTCTTTAAAAATAAAGGTTGTACAAAAATATATTCAGGCACAAAAAAATGAGAGAATTTGTTGCCAGCAAACTTGTAAATTAAAAAGACACACAACAACCTATTTAACCATTTTTATGACAAATTGTAATAAATGAATTGTCAAGAATGCCACTAATTAAAAATACCAGATGTTTAAAATAGAAATCAGCTCATTTACTGTGCACGTCATACCCTGTGAGAAATGCAGGGCAGATATTATCATCTTTATTTTATGGGGAAGGAAACAAATGTTCAATACATTCAGAAGCCTGTCCTCAATTACATGACAAAGTCAAAACTCGAACACATATTTCTGACCCAGTGTTCATCATTCTGACAAGGGGAAGTAGAAAATACATGATAGGGGCACCTGGCTGGCTCAGCCAATAGAGCACGTGACTCTTGATCTCAGAGTTGTAAGTTCAAGACTCACTGTGGATGTAGAGGTTACTTAAAAATTAAATCTATAAAAAAAATAGTAATCATATCACAGAGGTCCATTAAGTTGCATGATGTGTCCAATACACAACAAAGGGATAATTTTGGCTTCTGGAGATTTTGTCTCAAATTTTCTTTAATTTTGTTTTTACACACTCTATTAATGATGCTATTTTAACCCAATGAATAAGATATTATCACACTCCTGAATATTTTCTATTGTTTCATAACTGTTGACTTTCACCCTTAACTTACAATTCCAGAAGAAGCTGAGACCCCAAAACTTTTTGTCAAAAAGATTTTACTGACCAATTTCCATACTGAAGGCCTACACAAAAGTTAATACCACAATGTTTTGTGATCCATAAAACATCCTTAAACTAGAACTTGAAAAACAGCATGGAAAAGCCCATGAAACAATCTCTGAGTTCAAGATATAATTTTGCCTCAAGGAAGGCAGAGAGTTTCACTGTATTACAGACATCCTATAGTATCTGTTCAAATCAAATAATTGGAACAGTGAAAACAAGAGGCCATCTAATATAATCTTAGTCCTCCTACATACTCTTTTCTAGAAATCTTCCAGTATTCTGACATCTTGCTCTTTTCTATGACCTTGAAACATCATTATGGCCTACTCTGGGCAATATACTATAGAGTTTTGCTTTTGTCTTATAACACAACTTCTCATCTTCCCCAGTTAAGCAACCTTGTATAACAAAATAGCCAAAATATCTGTGAATACCTTAAAGAATATCATGGTAATATTCTCTAGTTCAAGGACATTATTTTAGTCCATGTTTTTAAAAATAATATTTTACTGCCAATCAAATATATGAAATCATATATATTTATAAGATGCTTACACTTTCTGAGCACTTCCCTCACATATTCTAGTATAGTGAAGTCCCAGATCATTTTTTACCTTCTTCGGTAAATATTTTTGAAACAAAAGATCTCAAACATAAAACATAACCTGTTATCTTTAATGTAGATTTTTACTTACCACATAAAGGGAGTAAACATTCTATTGTTAGAGGAAATATCATTTGCCAAAAACCATTAGCCAAATACCATATGCCTCCTGCTTACGATTGCTCACTGATTGTCTGATTGGGATTATATGCATTTTATACAAATGTTTATCTTTATGTTGGGTACATCCCATTACAGAAGCACATCAGCAGCCCATATGCTCACTGGGCTAGTTTCAAAAAGAGACTTTGTCAGTATAATATGTAAGAAAGGCAGCCAACATGAGCAACAGGTTCTCTAAGAACCTTCATAAAAAGCTCCGTAACTTTTACTATAAAGACATGAGTACAGCAAAGTTAAAAAGAGATAAAACTTTTGAAGAAACAGGTGGAGCCCTTTGTGATAAGAAATCAGGAAACAAATAATGAAATAAAAATTATTTCTGAATCATGGAGAAAATGTTGCTGTTAACCCCCAAAGTCCTGAATCGATGTCAGCTCATATCACTGGTCTCTCAACAAAAAGTAACACAATCAAAGATGTAATGATGTACTTCCCAGAAGGAGAGACAAGTGCACAAATGCCCCACAGTGAGCTTTTCCAAAAGCTAAACTGACGTGACATCCTCTCAGTCCCACCATATATATTTAGTAAAATCTCCCTCCATCATTTCACCCAGGTAGTTCCTTTTTCACTTCCACCACATTTTTAAATTCCAATAATTTTCTGTCACGTCTGATCTAAAAAGACCTCAACCTTTATCAGAAGATCAATCACTGGTCAAGAAAATTTACTTTTATACTTCCATATTTAAAAAGATCACCTGTCTTTGAAGAAAAAGAAACAGTCTAAAGGAAAACCAGTAAGCCTTTTTCTAAGAAAAAGAAAATATTTGAATTATAACTGAGGTTGTTACTTTCTTCCGCCTTAGCATTATGTTAGCTGCTGGATCATCAAACTTGTATATAAGAATCTCCTTTGTATTCAGGGATGATTTATTATACACTAAATCCATGAATATAAAACAGCTCTTAAATTTTTAAATATCTTAGATTGCAGTGAATGAAACTTCAAAATAAAGTAACTGAACCCCAAAGCAACAAACTTTCATTCCTTCCACTTTTTTAACAAAGTGTTTCTTTTAGAAATAAATTGACTTTAAATCAAATATTCCAATAGGCATCGTCACTTCTCTCTGATCTGAACATCGGACTGTTCCCAAACAGAAGGAATTCATTGATAAAACGTGTGTCAGACCTGCAGGTAGGGAGGAGGCGTGGGTATTGGTATGCTGACGTTCCAGCACTTTGCACACAGCACAACTCTAAACGAAGACACCTGAGTAGGTTCCGAATCGTTTGTCTTTAAGCCCTCAAAGCTCTGTAATAGAACAAATCTCAAACGCGTTTAGCAAGAAAACCTCTTCCGAAACTACTGAATAACAAAAGGGATTGCCAAGAAGACGTGGGTCTCCCTAACTGTACACTGAACGTGCCTCTTACTCCATCCACCTGCCACAAATAATCCTCAAGATAAGCGCTTCAGAAACCAGAAAAAAGAAAGCCAGCGTGGCTCTCCCTAAGTTTGCTCTTTGACTCACACCACTTGGGGACAGAACTTGGGCGTCTTTCGGCCTCAACTGGTCACTTCACTTCCAGGAGCTTAAGAAGCTCGCCCTGCACCTGGATAACTGCGACACTCACCGTGGGCGCAGGACACTTCTGATGTCTTAAGTCCCAGCTCTCAGTCCCGCCTGCAGCAGGAACACAATGGCATCCCTGCCCCGGCGGGCGGGTGCCGGGGACCCGGATCCGACTCGACAGTTGCGGGGAGCCTGACAGTTTTGAGCGCATTAGCGCTACACCCAAGACAAAGGCTGCCCTCGGTGGTCCTTGGCGTCCGCCCTCCCTGGGTGATCCGTGCCCGCCCTCCTCAAGCCCACACTGGAAGCTCGTGAGCCTGTAAAGTGGCCGTCCTCGATTCCGCGCTTTCCGAGGGGTGCGGTTCGCTGACTAGTACGAAGCTGGTGTAAACAGCGCGCCGCGCACTGGGGAGCCACCAGAAAAGGCTAGCGCGCCGGCTGGGCGAGGGCGGGCCAGCGGAGGTAACTAGCCCCAGGCAGCCGGCTGGAACAGCCTCCGCTCACCCGAGCGGCGCCCGCAGGCGAGCCCGGCGCCCGGGAGTTGGGTCCCAGCACCCACCACGAACCCCAGCCGGGGGCCTCGGCTCCTCCGCGGACCCACCGGGCAAAGGCACCTGCTGCCTGTGCTCCGAGTCTGGTACTGTGCCAAGCCCCGCTCGGGGTCAGGGACACAGGCGCCCGGAACGGCGAGCCGAGGAGGGTGCGGGCTCGCAGCGAAGCTGATTGAATGATCTTTGCAATCACTCACCGGCGGAGGGCGAAGTCGCTCAGGCGGTCGCCCGGCGGAGCGCAACCACCATCCCGCGGCGCAGGCATCCTCCCATCCTTTGTCAGCAGCGGGCGGAGCGCTCCTCCCCAGCTTGCGGACGTACACCCGGCTCTGGCTCGGCTTCCCAGCCCTCTCCCCTCCTCTTCTCCCCCTCCCCTTCTCCGTCCCCCTCTCGGAGCCGGCACTCACTCGGCTCCCATGATGTCATCCGGTGGAAATCTGCCATGCTCAAAGACTAGAATAATCCAGCGCTCACGCGGGGAACGCAACGCGGGCGGGGGCGGCAGCAGAGCCTTTCGGCGTACCCACAACCTGCCTGCCCAGTATAACTGGAGTCCAGGCCAGGACGAGGAGGTGTCTGTTGAAAGGTGGCTCTGAGCGGGGTGGGCGTGGTGGGGAGAAAGCCCAGGACGAAAAGTGCGGTCTCTGCTGCAAAGATCCCTAACTCAGTATTCAGACTGACGGCAAATGCCAAGGGTAAGAAGAAAGTTTTTTTGGCTTCTCAGCCTCTCTTGCGCCCCAGCACGGTGCTGGACCCCTATGCTACAGCCAGGAGAATGACCTAGAACCCCTGGGATTCCAGAGCTCCAGCCTCAGTGAGAAAGTTTTAGGATGTCTGACCGGTGGCAGCCTCAGGGACAAGCAGCTAAAAAGGATGAAGAAAGACTCACGGTTTATAGGCGAAAGAATCTGAAACAAAACGTTGGGAAACTAGGATGTCGCGACGACACTGACACGAAACTGACAGCGAAAAGACCGCTGCTCCCAAGAGAGAAACCAATAGCAGAAAATCACTCGTGGCCTTAGTTTTTCCTCATTTCCTCTTCACCAAATACTATTGGTCACTCTAGCGGTGACTTCCTCGTGGCCTCCCCCAAAGGATTGCCATCGGTGATGAAAACATTTAAATCACAAGAATTTCATGAAAAGCCATAAAAGATGTGATGTCAACTTTATTTTTGCTTGATATTCTTTAAAATATCAATAGGTGTTTTATTGGAGGAATAGACAACTTCTTCAGTACAATTAATGGAAACACACACAGGCGCACCCCAGATCTGAGATCCAGCCCTTGGCCAATCCAGCGTGGCTTCATGTTAAAATCTTGCTGTTCAAAGAACAGATCCCAACAACTGACAGTTTGCACTCATCAATCAGTGTTTCAAGGAGTCTCTCGAAGCCTCCGGAATTACCTACCTCTATCACCCCTGGAAGAAACTAAGGTTGCTTAGGAGAGCCCCAACAGTTAAAGCTGATCAGACAAGATTAACTGAGAGTGCCTACTAAGGAACATGCAGACTCTGCCAGTGGCTTCATCCACTGTCATCCTTTAGAAGTGTAGAGACTAGGAATAGCATTTATTGCAAATATAAGTACAATTAGGAACTCCTTAATCTTTGTAAATACAAAGAGAAAGACTCAATAGAATAATAAGGACTTGAAGGGTGTATTAAATAGGCTTGTTAATCCATTGGGGAATTGTGAAATCCACTAGGACTTTTCTTAGGAAAAGGTAATAAATTGTGAAAAAGCAGGATCAGAAATTATTTTTAAAAATAAAATATCAAAAAAGGGGTGCCTGGGTGGCTCAGTCAGTTAAGTGACTGCCTTCAGCTCAGGTCATGCTCTCAGTGTCCTGGGATCCAGTCCTGCATCAGGCAGCCTGCTCAGCGGGAAGCAGGGAGTCCCTTCTCCCTCTCTGGCCTTCCCCCCTCCCCTCCCCCTCCATTCCTCCCCTTCCCTCCCCCATCTGTCTCTGTTTCAAATAAATAAAATCTTTTAAAAAATAAAATAAAATATCAAAAAGGCCATGATGCACATAGTTTGAAAATAGTGTAGGAAATCTAAAAGTGTTAACATTTATTTGTTTTCAAATTAAAGTATTTTAAGAAATTAGTATTTTTAAGTATCAAAATAATGACCATTTTTTAAAATCAGGGCAAGTAGGAAAGAAACTAGATAAAAAACTAAGAGAGGTAAGAATTTGGTAATATAAGCAATGACCGTCTTTGAGAATAGACAATCTAATCGCTTGAAAAAAAGTAATTAGAACTGCTAATGATGCTGTTCTAAGTATATCAGAAGGTCAAGTTGTAAACCTTCCTTCCTAGATTGCTTCTCTGATGGCCCATCTATCTTCATTGCCTCTGTTTATCTTGCTGTTCTTCAGCATTCTCTGGACTAACACACAAGTGTGGAGACAAGAAGGTCAAAGGGAGTTAGCAGATCTAGGAAATTTAGACATATAACCAAAAAGATCAGAAAAAAATATCCCTCACTTTTTTTTAATCACTGCTCTAAAGGGCTAAAAGCAAAACCTCTATCTCTTCCTTTAAGAAAAATGAAACGCATTCATATGTGATAATGTATTTGGTCTGTGAAAGGTGAAATGAAATGGGTCACTTATGTCAAGGGGTTTTAAAATGGAATAAGGCCGTTAAGGAGATGGGCCTTATGCACATTCTTAAGCGTGGAAACGTGAACTTTTGAACTGGGTCAAACCACAAATATTCCAAGGACTCTGACCAAACACCTGCAACTTACCACAGTAAGAAACTGCTTAGCAACCAATTATTTTCAGTCAAGATTTTTTTTTCTCTGCCGCCAACACCAATCAAAAGCTCTTTGTAAACAACATATACAAATAATTCTTTTTTGCTTTAGAAACCCCTGACTTTTGCTCCTTAGTGGAACACTATTTGGGTTGCTACACAAATCTGCACACCACGAATTGCAGTTCTTTGATCCCAGATAAACGTTCTTGCTTAATTATTCCCCCCTCATTATTTAGGTTGACAGGTCCTATGGAAAAGTAATCAGTTTTATTATTCTGGCTGTTTTTGAAAATTAAAAATACTGTGCTGGGACCTTCACTGTGGCCCTCAATGTTAGCGGAGTGAATTTGCTACATCTCTACAAGAACTTCTTTCCCATTGTGTATCAACCTACCGAGATCCCCACCTGTGTCACTGACATTTCTCACTTCCAGTGCAGTCTTTTATCCTTATTTGTAATTTTCAAGTCATGCTGTTTGAATATTTTAAGATATTTTTATCCAAATGGATGTCTATAAATAACTAAAACAAAACATTCAGTTGTTACCTGGACAAAAATAACATAATTCTTAGAAAAAATTTACATCTGAACTCATATCTTACAAACCTAACTTATGTTCTTATCTTACTTAAATGGTGACTATATTAAACCTTAGAATTGAAGATTCAGAGTGGAAATATTAACTCCACCTCAATTGTTGATGCTCTGCTACACTCTTTTCATATTGATACATGATTCTCTTCACCAAAACAATGAATGTTTTGGGTGGGAAAGTAGACACATTTTAATATTTTTCTTTGTGGATTTCATGAAATATAAAACTTTTTTTACTCTGGTTTTATCTTAATTAATAAACTCATTAATGGCTAATTGCTTTTTTTTTTTTTTTGCTCTGGATCCCTTTGGAAATAAGCTTTTTTTTATTTTTTTTAATTTTATTATGTTATGTTAATCACCATGCATTACATTATTAGTTTGGGGGTTTTTTTTAAGATTTTTTTATTTATTTATTTGACAGAGAGAGACACAGCGAGAGAGGGAACACAAGCAGGGGGAGTGGGAAAGGGAGAAGCAGGCTTCCCGCGGAGCAGGGAGCCCAACGCGGGGCTCTATCCCAGGACCCTGGGATCACGACCAGCCGAAGGCAGACACTTAACGACTGAGCCACCCAGGCGCCCCTACATCATTAGTTTTTGATGTAGTGTTCCATGATTCATTGTTTGCATGTAACACCCAGTGCTCCATTCAGTACGTGCCCTCTTTAATACCCTAGCTAATTTTTTTTAAAAACAAGTTCTCCTGGGTATGAATTTGTTAACCATTGATAAATAATAAATAATAAGCAACACTAATATTAATAAACCTTTATTATGTACCAAATACTGTGCTAAGTGTTTACATGTATTAGTCCATTTGATCTTTAAAATTGCCCCCATGACATGAATGTGTTATTAACCTCTCTTGAAGATGAAGAAACAGATACCTAGAGAGATTACAAAAATTGTCCAGGCAACTAAACTTGTAACAAGACAAATTTAAGATTTTATTCTGTCAGCCTAAATGCATACAGCCACATAATAGCATTCCAGCAACTTTTAGATAATTTTTCCTTTGAGAAAATGGAAGCATGCTGATTTCATTTACATATATATATATGTACACACATATATATTTTATTTGGCAAGGTGGACAATATGCTTTTGTGAACTTTGCTATCAGTCACTAAATTCAACAGGAATTTTATTTCCATTATCCCTCTTAATGCATGCTTCCAAAGTTATTTGCAAGGAAAAAGATTCTCAGGATACCAAATGAATTTTAGTTTCCAATCTGTCCTTAAACAGTTTTAGACACAAAGCAAGGTGCAGTGATTTTTGCACTTGGAGACAGATCACTGTAAAATGAAATTAAGAAAAATAATCATAAGCCATTAATTTAAGTAAAAACAAAGACTACCTCAGCAACTATCTTCTCTATACAGCGAATCCATTTGTGGGTCCAGGAAGGGAAACTATACCACCTATCCAAATGAAGGCTTTCTTCCCTGCCATGAATATTAACAAGGAAAATAGATCATTTTACATATTGTATCTCAAACGCCCCATATGTTTTTTATCACAGAAAGTAATATTCCCCGGACCCAAATGTGTAACTGAGCTTCTTTAAATAGAAAGGTTTAGTATAGATTTCTTCAAAATCCTTTCTTTATCTTACCTTTTTGATAGTTGGCTGATGTTCAGCAACTCTGCTAACAAGGGTTATTTGAATGGATTTGTGGAAAGGTTAGAAGGTACATATAACAGATTATCATTCCGTTGAGATATGCTGCTAAACTAGCTTTTTGCATTAATCTCTCATAAATTAAATAATGTACACAAATAATAGTAATCCTTATATTCATGAGATATGTTAGCAGACAAATTAATTTATTGCATACTTGTGATCTAAACATTAATGTAATTTTGACTTTGGCTTCAGTATGTTCTTCTGTCATTAAACGTCTTTATTTTACATGACAGGGGGCCCATCCCACGATCTTTTATTTTTTTAATTTTATTTTATT